AGGGGCCAAATGGGAAGAAACCCAGTGAATACAAATAACAGAATTTGCGGGCTGTGGGGTACGCTTATAAGGCTTATGACGCATTTCGGATGCATGAATCATTCGGCATTGCGTCGGGCACTTGAATAGTCGGCGGTGATTGTATGTGACACACGCATCAATCTTGGTCTCTCGGTCGAGTTTGGGAAAGTTGGCAATGTTGTTCAGAAATCGAATTCTGGCAAGGCGAAGCTGCTCTCGGAGTTTGGGTTCCAGCCTATCGCGCAGCCGTGTTTTATAAGCTGCTAATTTCTTACCCTAAACTCATAAGTAGTTACCACACACAGCTAAATCTGGAGTAGTATCGGTAGAACAACACCATGAGTGGTTCCTTATGGTCTTTGGTCTTATACAAATGCCACGGAGTAATGTAGCCATGATTTTTCCAGCCAGTCGGCTGGCGTTTGCTATGGATGGGACTAGTATTCCTAGTACTCCTGTCGTGGGCTGATACTTGTGTTCATGTTTATACCATTTTTGAGGTTCATGATAATTTACGTGGTCATTATGATGACCTAACAGCATAAAAATTCGATCAGCTGTGTATTGTGCGCATCTCCTAGCATCACAACTAACGGTATGTGATATGGGCGTTGTAGTAAGCATATATATATATATATATATATATATATATATATATATATATATATATGTATATATATATATATATATCTATATATATCTCTCTCTCTCTCTCTCTCTCTCTCTATAATTATTATATATGTATATTTATATATTTATGTATATGACTGACTCACGGTTTATATATATATATATATATATATACATATATATATATATATATATATATATATATATAAACCGTGAGCACATTCACTGAACAAAGCGCCGCTGGATTGCAGTGCAGAGCGCGTTGTGATCAGGTCTATGTGCCGGGGGTGTCCGCGAAGGCCGCGAACGTCCGCAGCACGCAAAGTCCGTCATCACATCACTCGCCGTTCCAGCGGAACGCCGCATCCATGGTGATCCACATTACGTGTCCGCACCGTGTTAATGTGCCTATCGCCATCCAACACTAATTTCCATAAGCGCTCGTATCTGCCTGGATACCCGCAGGACGTACCTCTGTAAAGAGCCGCGTCCGCCACGTTAGCAATAACAGTGATTTGTTACGTGTTAACCGCCGTTATGTGTTCCCGCACGTAACAAGTGTTCTTAGACCTAGCCCGCCAGCGACCAGACCTGATCATGACTCGGCCCATCGACAGCGGTCGTCCCCGGATCACAGCCGCGTCGCCTGCTGTGATCATAGGCGGCATCCGTGCCGGGAACTGGGACCTTGTATGCCCCCCCCCCCCCCCCCGACCAAAGCCGCGTCGTCACCCGCTGCGATCATAGGAGGCGTCAGTGCCGGGTACTGGAACCCTGCGCTCCCCCTGGCTAAAACCGCGCCGTCAGCTGCTGCGTTATAGACGGTGTCAGTGCCGGGGACTAGGACCCTGCATGCTCACCCCTCCCCCCAGCCAAAGCTGCGGCATTATTGTTTCAAAACGTTTATAAACCTGCTGTCGGCTACTCCCTCGCCCGAGCAGCTTGAACGCCCAGAAATTATGCGGATTCCAAGCTGTTAGATCCTGATGTCCCGCTGGGTGTAACCAACGCTGCGCCGAATCCGTAGTTCCCTGATTAGCAGATCACGTGCCGGCCGACATTAGCGGACCAAACGGCAGGCTGAACGGACGTCTGTTTAAACGCGTAATTGCCTGTCGGGAGCGCCGACAGCCCGTCCGCGCGCCAAGCAAACAGCCGTGACCACGCGTGGGCGTCGAGGCTCAGGGCCCAGGCAGGCATCTTCACTCACCGTCCGCCTGGCTTTCCCAACACAGCGGAATGGTTGCTCCGGCGGATCTGAGGCGCACCGGCACACACAGACACACACACCCTCACGCGCACACACGCATACAGATCTGGGCGCGCGCCGGGCGGTTCTCACGCTCCGCCGGGCCGGGCCCCGCCAGGTCAAGAGGGCGGGGCCTCTGACCGGCAGGTGGGCCAGAGCGCGCACGCGGAGGGCGGTCCCGTAACGAAATTATGTACCGCTTACGGCGAGGCGCGATCACAGGCTGGGGTGCCGGGACGAACGCGAGGATGGACCGCTTTCACGGGAGGGAGGTGCTGAGCTGTGGGCGTGCTGGGTAGGAGCATCGCGGTGGCAGGACGTCAGATGGTGCTGGCGGAGCGCGCGACTGTCGTCGAGGCTCTTCGACGTGTTCGTGGCATGACGTTCGGTGTTCAGCAGGGACTCGGCAGAATGCATGTCAGTGTGGCGGAGAGCGGCGCACAAAATAGGGAGTGAGATGCTGTTGAGCAGGGCCGTGATCGAAATTGAGGTCCCTGCCTTGTTGGAAATCGACAGCCCTGCTTACATTGGAAGATAAATTATTGCCAGACTGGAACCAAAGTGTGCCAATGATGGCATGCTCGGTTATTTTATTACGCAATTGTTAGAAATTATCCAAATTTGTCCTAAACGTGCGTTTGTGCTCTTTACTTCACAACCATGCTATCCAGCCGACTGCACTAACATTTATATCTTGCACTTTATTTCCATGCATGAGGAATATGGTATCTTGAAACGAATCTGTGCCGAACTACCACATTTGTTATGGTAGCCCATCCGGCGCGAGGTGAACGGCCTTTCTGCCACATGACCATTTTATCAATCTTGAACTTTGAAAGCTCTTCGCTGATTGGTCGGGTTTAGTTTCTGTTGCCAGGCTTATGGAAACTGCGTATACACGAAGGTTAAGCCGCAAAAGCATCACGTTTAGGGTGACGCCGGCTATTACTTTGTTGCTGTTGGTATTGTTGTAGTGTGCTGCAGCATTGCTAAAGTTGCAGCTGAAAACAATATCGACATCGATTTCCCAGAAAGCAGGTAAGGTTTTTTATTATAGATACTTCAATACGATGACGAGACGCTGCGCAGCTTGACTTAAGAGCGCCATGTTACCAGCACCGCGGATGCACGAAAACTTAAAACTCTGCAGCTGGTCAGCTTTGGTGCCAGTCTAGCAACAGTTCCAGTCCCCTATGTAAACAGGACTACCGTGCTTTTCGTCTCCGGTACTGTGGCTGATCAAGACGAGTGACGGCATGGAATCTGTTGTAATGATTAAACACCATACAGCGGCGCTTAGATATGACCGTCACTGATGGAATCCGGTCTCAGTCACTGGTTTTCTCCACTTCTTGAGTGTTCTCTGATAGCACATGCGTCACTTGCTGCGCACGTGTTTGACGTGTCAAAGGCGCTTCAAATTCCGGTCTTAATAATAACAGCTACAGATAACGTTGGGTTACCCTTGCCCGGCATGACAGGGACAGATCTTCAATCGGCTTACATGGACAGGAAATGGAACAGATCAGTAGGGGTTATAGGAAAAGACTGCGCCAGAAGTGTCACGCATATTGGCAAAGCGGTCTTTTTATTTTGTTAAAAACAGCGTTTGAATAAGGAGTCATTTCAAAGCAGACGTTTGCAACTGTCGCAGACAGAAGGGGGATGAAGCGGGGAAAGCCATGCATTCAATAAGCCAGCAAGACCGTGACTGTACCAAGCTGACCGTCTCCCACTGACGCGTCCGTCTGGCCAAAGGAAACAGGGCTTGGTATCATGCGTGGGACACGACAGACACATGGCTTGAACTTTGAGTGGGTTGGGTTTCAAAGCAGGGACAAATCATGCAAATGACGTATTGGTGAAATAAATTGCATATGAGAACTCTTATCGCATTCGGCGTCAGCGATGGCAGCTGGCTTCTCTGCTCGCAGGCGAGGTCAGATAGCGGCTTCGTTAGCTGGCATCCCTCCACGGCAGGCGCCGTCCCTGCACGCGGTGATGGTGACGGATTGACGCGACTGGTACACACCTCCTAGAACAGGTCTCAGAACGCACATAGTCAACACACTTAGAACGTGTCCATGGTTACGCTTAGAATCCTCGGAGAAGTGCGTTACATGGCGGCACGAGACAATCTATGCCATTTTTGGCAGATCAAAATGGGCTTAAGAACGGGTGTAGTTCGCAAAATAAATTGAAGTACTGCGTAGGAATATACAGCTAAACTATATCCAAAATATACAAACCGAGTTTACCCGAATTTGATCACTTACCTCCTGAGTTTGGGGACCGGAACTCCCCAACTAAATTGTAAACGATGCCCCTGTTCCAGAGCTTTTAATCGACATGCCAAGCGGTGCTGGTGAAGCATGACAGCACAGGCACTTCACGGTTGTCGGCTCGTCACGCCGTGGTTGATCACCCAAGTGTGCGCTGAGGACTCGGTGCCGTCATTTACTGCTACTGTCGACCCTTCTTTAAATGCGACTTTAATTCACCACACTCTGACGAAAAATCCGTGGCACAGAGTACTTTGCCCGTCATGGTCTTCTTATGTGAGTGCAGACCAAAACAAACGCATGAATTATATCATTCGACGTTAGAAAATAGGAACGCAAAAAGGCACCTTTGTAGCAACATATGTAGCCGTTTCATTGCGACCAACCCTATGCAGGTAACACAATGAGGTGAACCTCGCAGCAGTAGCCGTTAACTTTCCTGCGGCAAGTGGAAAGGTGACCATATACCAGACTCAGCTGCCGCGCTCCCGCCGTCCAGTCCGTGGCACGTGTCCAGCCCACACTCAAAACGGGCCAGGTGCGCGCAGGGCCACCAGCGGGGGACGCCGTCTCCCCCACGTCCGCAGCAGCGCAGCTGGTCCTGCCGCTGCGGCGCACCTGGACCCAGTGCCGGCCCGCAGTCGCCTTCACACGCTGCTGGCGTTCCCACGCGCCGCCAGGTTCCCACGACGGCCGCCTTCTCCGGGCGCGCGCGCTGCCGTCCCAGCGCAGGCGCCGTACCTTACCTGACCGGGTGACGGTCACGGCTTCGCAGCCATTGTTGGTGCCGTCGTGTGGCCGTGCTGGTCGCTCCTCCGGCTCATCCGAGGGGATTTAAGGTAAGTGAGACGGTTCCTGCCATCTGGGTGGTGCCCCTGTCCAACTGGCACGTGGCAAAGCGCGAGGGAACTATTTTTAGCCACGGTGGGAGGCGTTCGGTGGGGAGCGCTTGGGCGTATGTGGCCTTCCAGCTGTCGCCGCAGAACGTGCGTCGCCATATTGCTCGGAGCTCCTGAGATCACATCATTTTAGGGCAGAAAGGTAAGTTTTTGGGAACGTCCTGATCGGTTTGGGGGAATTCGGGCATTACAGCAATATGAAAATTGCCCGGGGATGCTCTTCTGACGATCGGGTGAGGGGCGTGCTTTCTGGTCACGTGATCACGAGTGAGGACGTCATCGATCGATACCAGCTGACTGCCCGACGGCGGCGGGACGACTTGCAGGTGCGCCGGCCGGGCTATTGCAATGGTCCGGTGGCGGCGGCCGGCAGCAAGACCGCCGGCTCCCGTTCGGAATGGGGGGATTCAAGAATGTGCTGCAAATGCTGTTGGAATATTCTTCAAAAAACACTCAGTTTGTTGCACACTGTTGGTATGTTGCACTACCTTGCGCGCGAAAACTGCCTTTGGTTGATCAGTCATCACTCGATGCAATGTTGCATGGACCTCATTTGCTCAGCAGTTGGTGGCGCCACCTATACGGATTGCTATTGAGGTCTAGCAACACTTGAAATTACTGGTCAGGAGCTGTAACACGTCTCGACAAACGGAGGGATGCATGCTTTTTTGCTGTCGTCATGCGAAGTGGCAGGACATGCAGCATTGCAACCTTGAGTTTTTAGTTTGATCTTCTGTATTGCGCGAAATCACGCTTGCAAATGACTGTGAGAATGGACGCTGTTGCTCACCCGGAGGAAATCTCATGTATGTTTGACATGATGGAGTCTTTTTCAATACCTTACATTTTGTTATGCCATAGCTTCCGCCCGCCCCTATGAAGGATCATTTGTAATGAAGCACTAAACGACAAATCACTTATAACCTTGTCGTAAGCATCGCTGGTAGAATATTAAATGTCATTGTGGAAAGTGTGAGGCTCAGTTCCCAACACGTCGTTTAAATGTAGATGTAATGTTTTGTGAGGCGTTCCAAATATCCCAGATACATGCATTTAGACATCAGTTCTACCTCTCTTTAGCTGCTGGATCATTTCCTCAACGAAACAGATTTTTACCCCACAACAATTTTCTTCTGAACTCTGAACATTTATTCCATCGTCTCCATACAAAGTCAAGGAGAGCTGTTTTTCTCTTGAGTATTCGCAATTTTTGAAATCTAAGTCACCCCATGAATGAGTGAATTAAACTACTTCCTGCACGAGCCACTCCATCTTAAAGTCACCCATGAGATGCTCAAGACGCTAATTAAAATTAGCAAGCAGCATTTTAGCGTTTTAGCATTTTAGCAACATGTCCGTTAATACGGGAAGCAACGGACGTCAAAATGTCGGGGACGGGTACGCTGCGCATAGCTTTCATGACAGCGCACATTCAGCAAGTGTGATACGGTGTGACTGGTCCAGTTGGCACTTCAGGAACAATAGCAGGGGCACGTGCCCTGTGACGTGCTGGCAGTAGCGTGACTCTCAACAGGTAAAAAGGTGGCGCTGCTGCTGCTGTCAACGAAGCGTGCCACAGCTCGAGACAACTCCACTAAAGGAAAAATTGACTCGAATCACGCGCCTTTGTGAAATGGTCTGCCCCTTGGGAAAGGAAAGTGGGAGAATGAAGCATTTAAAGCACGCTTCAGGTTTTCAGACTGCTTCCTGCCAATCTGTCTGCTTCCCGCAGGCTCACCCGAGATATGTCAGCTGTCTTGCGAGCTGCTCAGTGATTGGTTCCCTCATATCAGGCTTCACACAGGCCACATTGTCAAGGAAGCTTCGTCATACCCATGAAAAAAACGCTCGCATTCACTGTGATTGTCGTGCCCTATTGCCTTGATAAAATAAAAATATATTCACAAGCCGAGCCAACCAACCCACCAGACGTTGGACACTTGCTGGTAACCTACGGTCTAAAGGCCGTTCAGTGAATCAGAAAATTTTTATTTGTAGTACCGACAGCGCTCGTTGTAAGCGCCTGTCATTAACCATTTTGACAGGCAACACATCAGTTAAAACGTGCGAAGATGTAACCCAACATGTCATAATAGAGCACAGGATGATACCTTATGTTCCAACCAGAATGGCAGAGTTTCATTTTGTCAGGGTACAGTTCTGAGCCATGGCAATCTTAAGATTTATGACAATCTTAGGAAGACATTGCCATGGAAAATTTTAGGACTAGTGAGATGGCAGAGGAACGAGGTGAAATAATTTCTACAGCTCTGCATCTACAGCCGTCTGCTGTCTATGCTGATACGTTATTCCAGTGTCGTTCAAATTAGTTTTAGAACGGCTGACATTTTAATTTTGTTTATGGTTGCGGTAATTGCTGTACTGCATTTTGTATTGATTGTTTGAAGTTGAGCGACGTCGGTGCCAAAATGAACACTTTGGGATATAAATAATCATCTCCTGCTATCATGCTGAGGCAGAAATGTGCTCGACTAAACGGGAGTGTTGAGCACCAAAGGAAATAAAACGTAAATTTGGAAGAGACAGCGCTAGTTTGTCACATCTATGCGTAGATAAAATTCATGACTTGGTTTACATGGTCAGAATTATTTGGAAGAAGATGCCCGATTCAATTTCATTTCAATTTGCATAGCTTGATGGGGAACATTTAGACTAACTTTCAGCAGTACATTTTTGACACATTTGGTGTCACTTCTGTGAGTCACCAATAAAAGAGCAAAGCAGCAACAAACTGCCTGTTTTCATGCTTGTGCGTGCACCCAATGGTTTTGGAAGTAAGTACTTCCCCTCAGCGTTGAGTAAGTCCGAGCAAGGCGCAAAAAACGGAGCAATGCTAGTGCACGGATGTTTGGAGTGTGCACATGCCACATGAGAACGCACCAACCCACTCATCGTCTATTCGCTCACAAGAACTATCGTGATCCACTCTCCGGGGCTCCGCCTCGTCCTTCAAAGGCCCGCTAATGCACCGGAAAATCGCCTGCCGAAGGTTTTCGTCACACGCACATCTCTCGCCTCGGTTCAACGGCTGGATTTGCATAATCACCCCAACAACTGCGCGGCATTAGCAAATTGAATCGCTGCTGCCTTTGTATGGGCTCAATATCCGGTTATATCTGCATGCTGTGCGCACGCTGAATGAAGGCTGGTAATTAATGGTTTCGGTATTCGCGCTGAAGACCATGAAATCGCTATCAGCTGCGCAGCGATTTAATTAAATGTTTAATAAAGCGCATTCCGTGTCCCCGACCGCCGAACATAGGGTGAGAGAAGAAGGAATAATTGGTCGTGTGGTGAAATAAAATCCAGTCAGAGAGGGATTCGGTCACAGACAAAGCCATGCGGCACGAAACAATACCTTTGGCGTGATGCGTCATGATGTACGCTTACGAGACTGCATCCAGTGCCGCCTCAAAGCTCGCGGCGTTTCCCGCTGTTCGATACTTTGCCGCGCCATCAACAATCAGGTCTCAGATACACCGGGATTTTAATGCAAACCACAAATAGCCTGCCGTCGACCACCCTCCGCTCAATCAGCAATCGACCAGCGCATTCCATTTCAGTCACACAGCGCGAAGGAAGCGCGTTCCCGCGCCCCACGAACCGTGCCATTGTGCGTGACAGGGGTTATTTGGTGGGGAGGGGAGGTGGTAACTGCACCTGCCCGTGGCCAGAGTTGTCCGCTCGGCTCAGCGTAAACTCAACCACCCATCCATGCAGGGCACTCGGGCGTGAGCGTCGGCCTCCGTTCCCGCCGGTGTCTCGTTCCCCCTGCTGGTTTTGCCGCGTCCTGCATCGTTGGCGTACGGGGCGGACGGTGGCCGACTGCCTGACCGGACTTCTCAAGCCGGTGTCATTTGTCAGCGAGTGGGCCCAGATCCTAATCGGGCAGAACCCTCGCTGCGAAAGACGTGTGTGGCGTCCGATGACCGGCCACCGACACGCACCCGGGGTTCGTCCCCGCAACCGACATGGGCGTGCATCCACCACTGGGGTTTGTGAGGCTTGGGCCCCGGTACATCCCGGGAACAGCTTGTTATATTTGTGTTTGAACAGTGTGAAACGGCACTAAAGCAGACAAAAAATCACTGACCTTCCATGATCCCTCCCCTCCCCCACGCCCGCCCCCGATAACGCGTTTTCTTCACTGTCGTGACACGCTTTTGCTGCCGGTGCAGGAGTGGAGATCTCGGTCTGACGACACGGCCGCACTACCAGTGGCTGACAGTGACACAAAAACCGTATCCGGAGCATTTCGACACAATCGCTGATTTCTATGCAAACGACGCCGGCCCCTGGGACCCCTAGCGCGTCGCCAGTTGCTGTGATCGACCTGACTGCGTTCGTTTCCATAATTTAGATTTCATCGGGCTGTGCGCACGTAGTCCGGTAGCCGCAGTTCCATTATCGGGCAGTTCTAGCGCGCGCCCTGACGCTGGCTTTGATCGCACCGCCCGACCCTTTGATCGTGCCGCGTGGCGGTGGCGGCGCGCGCGCACGACGGCCACGTGCCGGCGCGGGGAAACCATGGAAACGCGCGCGATTATCGAGCCTCCGCGGCCGGTCACGTGGCGTGCACGTGCCGCGCCACGTGTGCCGCCTGTGGGTATTGTGCCGTGTTTTCCATAATTTTGGCAGGCAGTGTGCCGCGGTCGCGTTTTACTGGGGGACGGCATTTTTGGAAGAGGGGTGGACGATTGAGTGACAGGAGGGGAAGGCGCAGATGGGCCACAAATGACCAGCACATGTTCGCCCATGTTCCGACTTCCCACCAACAGGGACAGAACACAGCGAAACAGCCATGGACCTAGATTCAGCCAAAGTATCGAGCTTGCATTGACGTGCTGTGTCGGGAGAACATCACGCAGAGGTGCATAGCCGCAACATGCACTGAAACACCCTCTGGTTAGATGGAGGTACCCACAACCAGCAAACGTTGTGCTGAAACACCAGACATTCAGGAATATATGTTGCATGCCGCTCGTGCTCCTGGTTTTTAGAGAGTGTGTCTGCTTATGTACTGACCCGATCTGATTTTTTTCAGCAACTGTCAATGAATTGTTTTGATTGCTTCAGACCGAAGACCAGCTCACCAGTACGCAACGAATCAAAGGTGAATCTTGCACAGCTGCAGACAGGTTGCCGTAGAAATGTTTCATGTCATTTGTGATCGGTTCGTACTTTTGGACAACTGTAGCTGCTGTCTTGTCTGACGTTATCACACCGCACCACATGGGCTAAGATATAGCTGCAAGCGTCCTCTCAAATTTCAGTGAGCCGGGCTTCGTTGAATGTTTGCAGTGCAAACCGTTTTCTCTGCCCTGTTTTGAATGCTGCCTCTTGTCACGTTTTCCGCGCTGTTACCACATCCTTAACTCAGGAGCTGCTGTCTTGTCTGACGTTATCACACCGCACCACATGGGCTAAGATATAGCTGCAAGCGTCCTCTCAAATTTCAGTGAGCCGGGCTTCGTTGAATGTTTGCAGTGCAACCGTTTTCTCTGCCCTGTTTTGAATGCTGCCTCTTGTCACGTTTTCCGCGCTGTTACCACATCCTTAACTCAGGCAATGTCGGTGTCTGGAGCTCGAACAAAGCGCCCACTTTATTGATGAGATAATGTATAGCCCACTGCATGGGCTAAATAACTATCACTAAAGCCGTACAAACGTGTTATTTCCATTTTATGCACCAACCTGCTAAGCATCTCCTTATTGTGTTGCTTACAGAAGCGCATCGCGAAGGCCATATAGGCTTACTGGAGTGTTGCACTCTGAATTCTACGCTTTACTTGAGCGCTTTGTCTACTCCATGTTCGCCACAACCCAATCCTAACTAATGCACACATCAATCCGTCGACCTGAAATCGTGGTGACCGCACGACGTTACACCTGGCAGCCTGGTGATCGCGCCGTGGTGTTACATCTAGCAACCTGATGCCGCACCGCGGCGTTACACCTGGCGGCCTGGTGACCGCACCGTGACGTTACACCTGGCAGCCTGGTGACCGCACCGCGGTGTTACATCTAGCAACCTGATGCCGCACCGTGACGTTACACCTGGCAGCCTGGTGACCGCACCGTGGCGTTACATCTAGCAACCTGATGCCGCACCGCGGCGTTACACCTGGCAGCCTGGTGACCGCATCGTGGCGTTACACCTGGCAGCCTGGTGACCGCACCGTGGTGTTACACCTGGCAGCCTGGTGACCGCACCGTGTTGTTACACCTGGCAGCCTGGTGACCGCACCGTGGCGTTACACCTGGCAGCCTGGTGGCCGCACCGTGGTGTTACACCTGGCAGCCTGGTGACCGCACCGTGGTGTTACACCTGGCAGCCTGGTGACCGCACCGTGGTGTTACACCTGGCAGCCTGGTGACCGCACCGTAGTGTTACATCTAGCAACCTGATGCCGCACCGCGGCGTTACACCTGGCAGCCTGGTGATCGCACCGCGGCGTTACACCTGGCAGCCTGGTGACCGCACCGTGGTGTTACAGTCGGCTCCGGTGACCTCTGAGGCACGGTCGCCACTATCCGTGCCGCAGCAGACGGCGGTGGGGCTCGAAAAGCCAGGGCTCGGTCCGGCCCGGAAGCCACGCTCGAATTACGCCAGCTTGGACGAGGTGCTCAAGTCGGAGAAGGCGATGGAGGCGCTGCGACAGTATATGGTCACCATACGGCAGGACCACCTGCTCGACTTCCTCGCCGACGTGGAGCTGTACAGGTGTGTCACCAGTCTGGTCGGCTTTGGTGATGCCCCAACGCGTACTTCGGGTCGGTCGGTGCAAGGAGCCCACCTATTTGAAGTTCTAGCTGTGATTGAGTTGCTACGGATGTATGTGGCTGTGTCTGAGTCGTTGCAGATGTATGTGGCTGTGCTTGAGTCGCTGCAGATGTATGTGGCTGTGCTTGAGTCGCTGCAGATGTGTGCGACTGTGCTTGAGTCGCTGCAGATGTGTGTGGTTGTGCTTGAGTCGCTGTAGATGTACACTATCTCTCCAGTTTGTAGCCAGATTGCTTGGTCGGTAAGTTATCATCCATTACGCATCAGCTGCGGCTGTTATCCTATGACGCCTCGTCAGTGGTGCTTATTCGACCACTTGCTTATGCCAAGGTCTGAGGCGTAACAATCCCTGCCGCTGGTTAGAACGCGGAGGTCAGCAGAATTCGGACAGCTCGAGCGCGCAGCCCGGAGCCTCGCAACTGCAAACAGACTAAAAACGAGAATTTTGAAGGCGCTGTTAATGTCAACCACATTCCTGGCTGGACCCCTGCATGCAGCATCCAGCCGTTCTGCCACCCTCTCCCCCGCCCCCAGCACTGCCACGTGATCTGACCCCGACCCGCCGCCGACAGGCGCCAAAGGGACGAGGCCGACCGGCTGAAGCTGTCCCAGCAGATCTTCACGACGTATCTGAAAGTACTGGCAGAGCGTGAGGTCGTGCTGGACAAGCCGCTGCGGGACAGCATCAGCGCCCGCCTGCAGGAGGCCCCCGCCACGCTCTTCGACAGGGCTGAACGTGCCGTCACGGATGACATCAGACGTGACGTCTTCCCCCACTTCTTGAAGACGCCGCTGTTCGAGCGGCTGGCCGGCCTCGCCTGAGGCTCGTGTGGCCCAGGGTCACTGACCTCAGGCGTGACCTGGGGTCAGGTGTGACTTGTGTCAGGAGTGACATACCGCCCCGCGGTGGCCTAATCTGGGTCCTGGAATACGCCACCAGCTAGACGACCGTCCAGATGATGGTCTGTGTGATTTACAGTTGCTCTTTCAGCCTTGCTTCAGATTGGGTCGTCCGTTGAGAGCATGTGCACGCTATACACCCATGGGTGCCTTGCTGCAGTGTTTACCCGACCCATAACGGGCATGCACACTGTGATCTGTGAATGCCATGAGATCGAAGGCCGACTCTTATCGCTTAGGGATGCCTCGTCACACTTACGATCGGTCTAGCTTTGAAGTCGCACCTAGGATCGGTTTAGCATTGAAGCTGCACCTAAGATCCGTCTGGCTTTGGCTTGCGACTGCGAGCAACAGGGTGGCGATTGTGCTCTTGTCTGGGCTTCGGTGACGACATTGAAGACTAGTGGAACTGAGGCATATAATCGACTTTTTCCGCCAGAAGGAGTATGGCCGCTTTTTGTTTCTGGCTTTTGTACAATTTCTTCCATGTGATGTGCCATGTCATACTTAATTTGACTCGTGCAGAGACTGTAATTGGCAGGCTCCGCTGAACGTTGCCGCCAAAATGGGACCAGGCTTGCACATAATATGCGACTAACGAACGCTCCATGTCCGGCATGTGCGTGCGTAAAGCCAATATTGGCGAGCGTAATGGATGCTGTATTGGTGGTTGTTAGACACGCATTGCAAGTTACGCCATGAACATCTGCATTATTGTGCGAAGATGCTCAAATCCTTCGCGAGGTAGTTGTGTCGTCTTATCGTCTTATGCGCTGATTCCCGTTCTGTTTTTCCTTGGTCATATCGCTATTGCGTGAATGTCTACAAAGATGTATATATATATATATATATATATATATATATATATATATATATATATATATATTGTAGGACGTCATTTTTGTCACACTCAGAAATTCATGTGTAATCCAATGATATTACACCAGTGTCTACCATGTAGCTATAGTAGAACATTTTGATCTTTTGCGTCTACAGCTTGTTTCAAGTTGGCTGCATTTGCCGCTGAAAACATGTGTTTAGTCCGAGTACGGCAATGAAGTGAGCTGTAACTCTGGAACACGAGAAATCTGTCATCTATGATTACTGATTTCTGATTTGAAATACAAGCACCTGTGTGCGATCCTTCAATTCGTCTCAAATATTCATGACAAAGCAAAAATCAATATTCTTTTGTGCAATGCAGACACAAAGAAGCGATGAACGTACCTCAAGCAACTTTGTCCTCACACCTGATTCTGAAACTCCGGAATGCGATGTTTCGCGGTCACGTATCTTCAATGGGCGGACACAAACCAGGGTGTTGGCACGCCAAGGTGGCACACGTGGCACACGTTGGCTGTCTCGCGGATCGCCACGTGCCACGGGCAGCGAGCGGTGGTCGGCAGCTGTCGTTAAATCAGGTGGTCGTGTGCGGGAGAACGTCCTCCCAAAAGCACACGGGCGATAGGCGATCAGAATAGCGGCGCTCAGCTGTCCTGTCGAAAAACAATGGCATTCCTGTTCGATTTCTAACATGCCAGGCTTTGTGTGGAATGTTGGTCGGTTTGATGCGTTCAAGGGCGTACGTAGCAGCACATCAAGGGGGCAGGCAGGTTCGATCAAAACGGGACGTGACCGACCTGGCATACTGGACACAAATCCAACCATGGATGGCAATCTACACACATTGATTAGTTACTCCACAATCCACAAAACGACACGCAAGCCATGATGTGAGTGAGCAGCAGGAGTCACTCTGGGTATAACGGGAGTGTGCCGCGGAATGGAAACAGAACGATGCTGTCTTAACAGTTTTGAGTTATTCCGTTCTAAACGGCGCGTTGTCCAGACATTAGCCCCACTGTTCTCACAGGTTCCGCCGATTGCGTCAGGGTTTAACCTTTTCGGAGAAGACATGGAATACACTGTTCAGAAGTGAGAGCGGTGAGAAGTATCTGGCGATGTCTCGGACCGTGATCGTGACGGAGTCAGGATCAAAGCATTGATTTGGAATTATGATTCCTGCAAAGGTTTAAGTAACAGGGTGGCATAAAGAGAAGGAAGTTTTACTTGGAGTTATCATTTTTACACAATTACGAAGAAACCACGATAAAATGACCATCAAAAATGAAATACCATGTGCCTCGCAACAGCGCTGAAACAAGTAACCAGCCTATAGGAAGGTCAATCGTGTTTGCTTTCACAATTCAGGAAATGGGGTAAGCGTTCAGCTGCCACTTTGGTTGGATCCCACAAGTTGAGAGTGTAAGGTTAGAGATGAGGTAACAACGACACATGCAGACAAACGGGAACATATTCTAACATAAGACATATCATCGGTACAAAAAGTTTCCTAGTGTGCTTAAGCTTATGCACCACGAATACAACTGTCAGAAATCCCCACAATCTCTGGATCAACCTGGAGGAGCCAAATATAATGAAGGCAGTTACTGCTACCGAATACTAAATTTGCATGACATTAACCGCATGCAAGCCAACCCTAAATTCATTCATGGAGTTCCCGCAGCAAATGCAACTACAAACACGCGAATTAAAAACATTCTTACATGTCTTTTTTGGTGAACATATAGACAGCAGTGCGACACATTGAATCTCGCGCTGATTAACCGCTTCTATTAAAGCTGACCGATGGGGGATAGGGTTAATGTGACACTTCATCTGCCATCTCCAGACAAAAAAGGTAGAGATGAAGGAGAGAAAAAAGTTTGTTATGAACGGGATGTCGTGATTGCATATTGCGAACTCTAAAAAAAGAGTGTTGGGTGTTGAGTTTTCATCACATTATTGTGCATTATATGTGTTTTCAGCGTATATTTATTAATAAGACTACATGTATGCGAGAGCGTGGGTCCATCGCACGGTCTGCGGATTCATCGGTTGCCGCCCGCCGCCCGCGTCGACCGTGGATCGCGGTACAGTGTTTGTAAAAACCGTTGCTGCTTGGGAACCAGAATATTTGGAACACGCTCTTGGTCTCAAACACGTGCAATGAAGGCCCGTGAGGTTACTAAAAAACTGGGAGGGTTTGCATGCCATGCCGAGGAGGTGTCCTCAGAAAACCGTAGGGAGTGTGGGGGCAGTGATCGATGTGGCCTCCCTCTTCACCAGGGCGAGGGTTCAGATAAAATGAGCGCCGCGTGTCGATAACTACTTCCTATTTTATGATGGTAATTCACATGATAGAGCAATGGACGAAAGTAACAACTCCAACAGCCGCAAAAAGCTGCTCCACATGTCAAAACTTCAGTACATGATAGTTTATCTAACATGTGACTAATTGGTACAGCACGACGTAATGCTAGCATTGTGTGCACCTGATCTGGCTTCCGCTTGTCCTTAATGTGTTGCGTGGTTGTGTACATCGCGGGCGCTTCCGATCTTGAAACATGAACCAACTCAAGGTAAGTAAAGGTCGACCTAACCACGAAGCAATGACGTCACGAACCCTGACTGGCTCAAATGGCATGGATAAACATAGGCGTAAGAGCGTTTCAAAAAGTGTATGTGTGGCACGGTGCAGTATCCTAAGGCTTTCTTAGGGAACTGTTCATAGGAGGCAATCCCGGCGACCGGGGGCGAAGGATACAGATGGAGAACTTCATCCACTCTTGATTCGCATGGCAGATAGGAACATTACATTAATGTGCTGGTTGCTATGCTGAGATAAATGAAGATGTAGGTGTTACCTGCAGGCTCTTTTTGCTGGTGCATAATCTTACCTAGTAGAATAACTGATGCCATTTGACAAATAAGCACTACTCAGCCTCCTGAAACTATTCGACTGCAATAATGCGGAATATATGCAAGTTCCTTCGTCCCGTCTCAGCCTTTTCCCTGCGTGTGTGGGTGTGTGTGGGGGGGGGGGGGGGAGAAGGCGCGTTAGTGGGTAGGCATTATGGGTCATTGACGAGGCATCTGTCTCCCCTAGTTTACATCCCAAAATACGGCCTTGGCACAGGCTGATCCGAATTTCGAATTTGAATCCATGGCCAATAGTGTACTTAAGTTGTCATATGTCTGGACTTCGCAAACTGCTTTTCAAGGAACGAGCTTTTGTCGCAGCATTTTAGGCACAAGCAAATTTGGAAACTTTAAATATCGCATGCCAAAAACAAAGTGACCGAATCCATAACACTGGGGTCTCTTTTCTAAAAACATAAGTTTGAGGCTGAAGATCTTTCTGTCGGATATTCCTTGTGTGAGCCCTACCCCCGCCTGCCGACGGCGACCGCTGCTCCGGACCGTCTGTCCCGTGTGAGCCCTGTTACGCCCGCCGTCAACGGCCACTGCCCTGAGCTGTCTGTCCCGTGTGAGCCCTGTTCCCCGCCGTCAGCAGTCACTGCCCTGAGCCGTCTGTCCCGTGTGAGCCCTGTTACGCCCGCCGTCAGCGGCCACTGGTCCGGACCGTCTGTCCCGTGTGAGCCCTGTTCCCGCCCGCCGTCAGCGGTCACTGCCTTGAGCCGTCTGTCCCGTGTGAGCCCTGCTCCCCCCCCGTCGGCGGCCACTGCCTTGGACGGTCTGTCACGCGCAATACTGACTGCCAACTGATCACCTGGTGACTGCTTTGCTGCATGCTGAGGATCAGCACCACTACTAAGCGGTGTGTCAAGCAGATATGACACGTGCTGCAGTACTTAGTTCCTAACTATGCTTGCTTAAATTACACCATAGCAGCAAATGACTTTTCGCATTGTAGGCTTTTTGATGCAGCTTATGTCAATTAACTATATGTTAACTATTGTCTATTATTGTAGCATTCATTTTTTTTAAAAATCGTGTGCCTGGAATACATGCTAGAGTGCGGCACCTTCTGTATTCATCATTATTACATCACTTGCCGGATGAAGGTATGTTTTTTGGGGGCATTTCATGAAGTGCCCGATATAGTTGTTAAGCTGCGAGTAGAACGGTCTACATTCCCACCTCATGCTAAATGCTCTGTAAACGATCAAGACTGTTTATTCATATTTCGTTCCCTAGAACAGCACCAATTGCACTCACTCCTCAGGCGTCGATCGTGTGGCTGTCAATCATTGCAAGCTTGGGATTTAGTGGAAAACATTGAGGCATGCATAACCCATATATCTGTATTGATGCCGGCTCCCGCAGACGCGTCCGATCGGCTCAGACTTCCCACTCTAGCATGTAGGAGGTACCTGGCGCTGAGTGCCTGTGCCGGCTGATTGTTTAACATGACAGATGCCAGTTGGTCGAAGGCGAAGGGGTCTCCACAATTATGCGGCGTGATTGCGCAAATGCATTTGATGGCGCATGTAAGTTTCCCCCAGAGCGTTGCAGGCAAAATTTGCTGACATAATGGACAAGGCAGTAATCCCAAATATTTATCCCTGCAAAACGTTGGACTTACTAAAAAAGAAAAGGCTGTATATGTTTCGAAAAAATACTGACATGCATTTCTTGGTTCAGTGCAAGCAGCGCTCTTGCCTTGCACAGCAATCCATGCTCAACGAGCGCACCAGATGGATCCCTGTTCCTGAAACCGGAACCGTTCTGAAATGTCTCCCGTAAGTTCATGGATTTCTTTGCCGTCTTTTCAGTGGCGATGCCATTCTGCAGTAGTTGTCGGCACGTAATCAAATGCGCCGTCACCCTCCTGAAGACTTCTCTGAATAAATCGCGTATTTTTTGGTGCTCGAGCTACCTTAACGCGGCTTGGGTGCGAGGGCCAAATTGATCCCTCCGAAGGTTCTTCCAGAGTGTTTTCCCGAACGACGTGACACGGCCGCGCCAAATTTTGCATAGCTGCAGATGATTGAATAGCAGATCATTTAGGATCATAAATTTAGATGTACCTTGTAAAGTTTGCTGGCCTGTGGAAGGTCAAATTCAGGGCCACGGTTTCAGTGAAACCAGTTCTTGGGGAATCGTTTCAATCTGATGCAACAGCCGAGTGTTCAGACAAAGCCGAGTGCTAGACAAGCTTGTCACCTCTGAGGCACTTTCTTTGGCAACACAGCATTACATTAGGTCACAACCCCAGGTCAAAAGCAATCTGCTTTACTGCTCTAAGGGCCGACTGTATGGGGTAGTTTTTTGAAGTTTTATAACAAGACCATGCTAGGATAAGGAAAAAATGCTGTCATTTACCCCATGAGAACCGTGTGTTC